GCCAACAACCACCCATTACACACACACACACACACACCTGCCAACAACCACCCATTACCAACACACACACACCTGCCAACAACCGCCCATTACCAACACACACACACACCTGCCAACAACCACCCATCACCAACACACACACACCTGCCAACAACCGCCCATTACCAACACACACACACACCTGCCAACAACCGCCCATTACCAACACACACACACACCTGCCAACAACCACCCATTACCAACTCACACACACACCTGCCAACAACCGCCCATTACCAACACACACACACCCAACAACCAACCATTACCAACACACACACACACCTGCCAACAACCACCCATTACCAACACACACACACCTGCCAACAACCAACCATTACCAACACACACACACCTGCCAACAACCACCCATCACCAACACACACACACACCTGCCAACAACCACCCATTACCAACACACACACACCCAACAACCACCCATTACCAACACACACACACCTGCCAACAACCACCCATCACCAACACACACACACACCGCCAACAACCACCCATTACCAACACACACACACACCTGCCAACAACCACCCATTACCACACACACACACTGCCAACAACCACCCATTACCAACACACACACACACACCTGCCAACAACCACCCATTACCAACACACACACACACCTGCCAACAACCACCCATTACCAACACACACACACACCTGCCAACAACCACCCATTACCAACACACACACACCTGCCAACAACCACCCATTACAACACACACACACACACCTGCCAACAACCACCCATTACCAACACACACACACCTGCCAACAACCACCCATTACCAACACACATACATACACCTCAGCACGGTATAAAAAGGTCAGCCGTAAATTATCAACAAGGTACTTAATAAAAAATGGCAAAGGTAAAAAAGAACTGAGAGAGAGAGAGAGAGAGAGAGTAGAGAGTAGTAGTAGTAGTAGTAGTAGTAGTAGTAGTAGTAGTAGTAGTTGTTGTTGTTGTTATAGTAGTAGTAATAGCGCAAGGTGGGCAAGCTTCAATTGTAATAAAAAGCAATCACAGATGCCATTGCTCAAGGTACGGTAGGCCAGTAGAAGGTTTGCCCTCCCAATGTGTGTGGCTCTTCTTATGACATCGACCAAGCCATGGTGTGCAAGAAAGGGGGGCTTCGTCTGCATGAGGCATGACGAAGTAAGGGATCTCACAGCAAATCTACTGAGGGAAATCTGCCACGACATTGGTGGAACCGACCCTCCTTCCATTGGACTGTGAGAACCTCTGTCACAGGACTTCAAACACATCCAACGAAGCCCTGTGGACGTCAGAGCTCGAGGATTCTGGATGCGGGACAGCGAGCCTTTTTTGATATAAGGATTTTCGTACCCATGGCCGCATGTCACCGTAACCTAGCTCTCGACGCTGCACACAGGAGGAACAAGAACAGGACGTATGGGGAGACGATTCAGAACGTTGATCAAGGCAGCTTCACTCCTCTGGTGTTCACAACCTCTGGTGGGATGGGACCAAGTGCAAGATGTTTCTATGCCAGACTCGCGGAGGTGTTATCCGGACAGAAGCAGCAGCCCAGAAGTTATGTTACAGCCTGGATGAGATGTCGACTGTCCTTCTCTCTCCTTAGGTCTGCATTGCTTTGTCTCAGAGAACGGAGCATCGGCCCCAAAGCCGACAACTGTCGCAGATATTAACTAGATGCCGCATAGATCTGCGGCTCAACACAGCTAGGGTAGTTACTTTTGTATTAGGATATTTAATTTTAAAGTAATAAAATGACGACGAAGGTGTGGCTATTGTGGGAGGCTGGAGCCCACATTAAAAAAAATAGTAGTAGTAGTAGTAGTAGGCGATGATGCTACGTCAAATATATGGAATCTAATGCTGTTTTATGGTCGGATTCAATGCTGCTAAGGTGAGTTCGATGCTATTAAATAAGATTCAATCCTTATAAGTAGAATCCAATCCCTTATAGGTAGATTCCAACCCCTTTAAGTAGAATCCAATCCTTAAAAGTAGAATCCAACTCCTTATAAGTAGAATTAATATATAAGTGGAATCCAACCCCACTTTTACATGAAACCCCATAATGGGTAGATGTCCGTCCCCATAACCCCATAGGTTGAGGGTCTGTCCAGTAATTGTATATAGGGTGTACTTACCCATAAAACCCATTATAGAAGACATTAAATAAAGTCATCTGTAGCCATAAAGTTAGACATAAACTCGGGAAGTTATTACACAGGGGTCTAGGTCATGGCTGAGGGGGGTGAGTGGGTGGGGGTGAAAAGTGGGAGGAAAAAGTGGAAGAGGAAACGGAGGGTGGAAGACATTAGGTGGAGAAGGGGGAGGAGAAAAGGATTAGCAAGTAGCGGAGGAAGGAAGGGGCTGTGGAGGAGAAGGAAGGAGTTGGGTGGTAGTCATGAGAGAGAGAGAGAGTGGACCTAGTTCTAGTTGTTAATCCCTTGTGTATGGGGTCCCTTGTGTATGGAGTCCCTT